GAGAGAGTAAGAAAATATATATACAATATTATTTTCTTCAAACATATAACACTGGAAAATACAGAATTTTAAAAAATATTTTAGCATTATCATATAAAAGTTAAAAATAAATTTTGTAACGTTTTATTAAAACTGTACAAAATGAATTATTATTGAGATAATAATTGTGTGAGAAAGCTAATGTATTACAATTTTATTTTTACAATATTATTCTGTTAAAAATAACGCGACAATTCTAAACAACTGGACTAACCCATAGTTATCTCGTTCTTGATTTACAAAGGATCGTCTGCTCATGAATCTGACACAAGAGTCTCTCTTCCAATGACTTTCGTCATGCGCGATACATGGGGAGCAAAGAAGAAATCCGCAACCTTCGGTCGTTCAATCGCGGAAAGAAAAAACAGGAATGGGGAGGGTGTAGAACAGCAGCACAAATAGCAAGAACGAGCTTAATGGCACTGTAACTCCGGCAGCGGGCAATTTTCAATTTCGCTGACTCGCGCGGAAGTGGCTTTCCCACCTCCGTGGCGGAATTGAGACGTCGCTACGAGTCACGGGGCACTTGGCACCATAGGATTTGACATGGACAGCTGGTCGCATTAGACACGTTAAGAACACCGTAAGGAAAAGGAGCGGATTTCCCTGGATAGTCGCGTAGCTTTAACCCTTTCACTGTTTAACATTCGTTCGTCTGTCAAGATGGACTCTGAATTATTATTAATTCGATTAGACCTCAAGTATCTTTTTCGAATGATATCAATAATTATATTGTAAAAAAAAAATTATTACGGAATCAACATTTTTTTAGGATAAGTGCAAATGTGTTTTCATAACTTGTAAAAAGTGCAAATGAAATATTTCTTTTCATTCTGGTGTATATAAATCATTTTTTAAATATAATTGTGCATGCTTAATTTAAACAGCATGCGTTATATGTCATAAAAAAAATCTTACTTTCTTTCCGTATATCCCCCGATAATGATGCGGATCTTGCATTCCGGAGCTCTTCCAGATTAGTCCGTGATTATTTAAAGTAAATAATAAGTATCTATAAAAACGCAACGAGCAGTAATCACAATAATTATCGAGGATGTCAGATATTAAGGTTATCCGACCGGCGCGCGGCGGTTCTCGCCGACGTTCGCTCCGCACACGCGGAAATGGAGGAGAGGCGGCCGGTTGTTCGCGAGCCGTGAATGCGGATCGTTGCATGAAATTAAATGGGGAACGAGCCGCGGAATCGGCAATTACGGCGCGGAGAGATAATCGAGTGCCGAAGCTCGCGCGAGCCCTTCCGCTTGATATCCCAGTTTCGCGCGAGGATCGGCCTCGTGTGTGAGAACACCTGCGGCGAACGGGGGAGCGGGGGAGGAGGAAGGAAGCGTAACGTTTGCATCTTGCGTTGCACGGAGGAGGGCGAAAGAATGGGCGCAAGAACGGTAAGGAGCGAGGAGTCGCACGGTGTTGTGTTATGGGCATAGCGGTCCTAGCGGTGAGATATATCCCTCGGATAACGCGCTCATTTGCATGGGCAGGCGCATAAGTGTAAAGCAATGATGTGACGTTAATGAATTGCGTGCGTAACGCGTGATGGTATACAGGTATAAAAACAAACGCGAGCTCTTCCTCGGGGCTCGAGGATCGAGGATCGCGAGACATACATCGCGATCTAACATCGGAAATCCATCCGCGCGCATAACTAAAAGAATGTAATGTAAATTTCCGCATGATTCTGCACTGTACGTAACGAGGAAAAATAATGTGAATGATATGAAAGCGACGAAGTCTCTTTCACATCGATTACATGTGTATTACATTTATCATCGTTTGTGAGCTTAATGAAATATTTTTGTCGTAATTACTACAGCCCTAATCCATTATATGCTACATCTAACGCAGCGGATGGAAAAAGATTTTAGCAATTATCAGAAACAGTTTAAAAGTATTTCAATCCGATACGGCTGGTTAAGTACTCAACACTCTTGTAGGCGAAATTCCATGCAAATGGAAGAAATGGAAGCGACTTTGCCATTGTTTTATCAGTTAGAATGCCGATAACGGGGATCGTGGGACTGCTTGTTAACAATCGCGAGAAAATCTGGGGAAGAAGAGAAGAATTAACGAGCGTCACGCTAGCCGATTGTATTTGTTGCCGTTATCCAGTTGCATAAGGATGCGATCGAAACAATATCGAATTAAATGATCTACAAACGAACATGTACTCTATCTACTACTATTAAGTTCAATTTGAAACGTTAAATTCGAATTCCATGGTTCTGATTCAAGAAATAAAAGAATCTTATCGAGGCACCTAGCTAGTGGCTAATATCGCGATATTATATTTACCACGTCAATTAACTTATCCCGTTTCTTTCCAAAAGTAAAAATATTTTGATCGTACATCGTATATCGTAGAATTAAAATTTAACTCGTTCGTAGAACGTCCAAAGTCACCACGATAAGATCTCTTTAGCGTGTAATGGACTCGTAATCGAGCGTCCTTACGCCGAAATTGCGCGCTTTCATGTTCACCTGCCATCGGCATCCGGTTATTGCGGCGCACAATGGAGGAGATGAACCACGCCGAAAATGACTCATCTATTCCGCGCGAAGTGGCCACCCTGGAGTCAATTGGCTTTGACGGCAGCCGGAGCCGCCTCCCTCGAGCCACTAACTTGTCACCAACCCCGGGCAGCATGCCATTGGAGAAAAACGCGTCTGCAATTAAGAGAAAGAAAAAGGCGAGAGAAAGAAACGTCTACAATTATCCATGGGCGAACGCCCATGTCCCATCGCCACCCTGCGATCCCTAGATAGCTATCGTTAATTAATTTTATACCGATTGATACCAACACCGTCCCTTGACGGGCGAAAGAAGTAACCGCAGACGGCGAACTTGTCGCAAGGTTGACCTCGGACTCTTCAACCTTGGTCGGTCTATTCTTTCAATAGCCTTCGACATGTCCAACCGCGCGTCCTCCTTCTCTCTTTCTCACTCGTAGTTTTCGTGGTCGTTGGTTCAATTAACTCTTCCCGCAACAGGGACCACCGCGAACGTCGAATACCTTATAATTTAGCGCCGTCATTCTACACCGATCGTGCATTTAACAGAGATTGTTGTTCCTTAATGTTTGATCGATCGATCGTAGCGGGCAACCCTCTTGCACTAAAATGAAATGCTAAAATAATAATAAGGAACACTTGAAGAGCCAAATATTTGTCTATTCAACGAATATCCGTGTTTTCTTTATCCCCGAACACTGAAGAGCCAAATATTTGTCTATTCAACGAATATCCGTGTTTTCTTTATCCCCGATGACGAAGAAATATAACGGTGACAACAATGTCGATGACAGGCTTCGAGAATTTGATCTTTGCGGTCGCTCACCACCGAATGGAGATGCGGCGATAAATGATAAACGGTCAATACGCGGCTCTCTCTCTCTCTCTCTCTCTCTCTCGCTGGGACTCGTTAGAAATGCCGCGATCGAGAAGCAACGGAAGCCGCGTAGATATTCCCCGAGAGAGTATTCACAGGAAGAGTTAACAGTATCATACCGATGCGATACCGATGCGACTATCTTGCCGCGGCGGTACCCACGGCGCGAAGGAACGATCGAGCGAATAACGGCCGTGAAATCGCGATACGACGATACTTCGTGTCCGTATAGAATGATTAGAAAACGAAGAGGAGTGATTCTCACGAGACCCGCCTGATCAGTGGTTTCTTACTAATTTTCTTTCCTTGACCTTCGCTCAGAATCACGAACATGTCCGGAGCGATCTAATTTTCATTTTAACAATTCATTTTCAATTCGGATTTTCAATTCAATTTGGTATTACATTGGCGAAATTTCTGGTTTAAAAATCTTATCTGTTGTCAAAAATAAAAATAATCATCTCTCAAAAGAGAGACAGAGAGAGAAAGAAAATTATTATAGGATCAATAAAAAATATATCTCGAAATTTATGAGATTTTTGTTTATTCCGTCATTGAAGAATGAACGATTGGTGAAAGTAATTGCTTTATAAAAACGGAAATATATGATTTGGCATATAAAATATTAAACATATGCATGTTAACGTTAGTATTAGTTGGTACAGTAGAAGGCGTCTCGCATATTTCGCGCAAGAAGTATTTCATCAAGAAGTATTCCCGAAGAAACCTTTATAACACGTTTGATCACGCAACTAGGATGTGATAATCAGGTAGATGTTAAATAAGATTGTTGATGAAGTCATCAGAAGTGCAGATCGTTGTTGGGGTACAACCCATGCTTACGGCTTACATGTCGTTTTAATATAGATACATCGGATCTCCAGCGAATGTTTGCGTAGATAGAAGAAATGCAGACGCGTTTTTCCACTGACGAGTGTTACACATGTGTGCAATGCATCGTTCCCTTCCGCAATTTATGCGGAATGCAGACGCCACGAAGCCTTTACACGATAAAAAAAGAACCGCGAAACACGTGATTTCATTAACAGCTAAATGAGCGTGCGATTTGATTGCGTAACGAGCATTTAACTAATTTAATTGTTGCGTGAACGCAACGCGATAAGCAGGACTCTTTAAATCAATCTGCATGTGCGAATTTAAAATGCAGATTGTTATCAAATCAAAAAAATAATTACGTTTCTCACACGGTTTGTATACATTTTTATATAATACTTGTGTATTTTTATAATATAAATATCGATTACATTACACTTGCACTACATATACATATATTTGTTGATATAATCATTTTAATTAGAATCTGAAATAACAAACGATATATTGTAAAATGTACTTGTGTACATAAACATATGTATATATATATCGCACTAATGCATTCATTTAAATATAATAGTTTTAAATTGTATTATAGAGTTTTGCCGTACAAATAAAAAACATGAACAATTTACAAATCCTGTAACCGCTAACTTGATATTCGATAATTTTCGAGAACCACCCATATTTTATTATAAAGTTTATTATGTATTAAATATTTAGTCGCTGCATAAATCCACTTCATTGTTCTTCTCGTAACTCACATATTTGCACGTTCAAAAGCATTTGAAACATTTTTTTCCAGTTAATTATCAACAATCGAGGATAGATTGTGATAATAATATGTTTAATTACAGCCATAAAGAATTCACATCTTGTTGGCACGATTTCCTCTGATTTTTCGAGGTAAAGATTTACGTCGGTACATTTTATTGCACTGATCGACGATGACGCACGGAGGTGGCGAGGTCCTGAGATCTGCGATAAAAGCTGCGTCCATACGAAGAGAACTGCGGGGTAGAGGGGAATGCACATGTGGGTGAAGGCTGGAGGGCTCTCCAGGATGTGTCGAAAGTGAAACTCAAGGTCTCATACAATCTTTCGTTGTGTAGTGCATGTATATGCATGGCCATTGTCCGCCCTAACACGAGCTCGATCATAGCTCCTGATAAGCTTCAATTCAGGTCCTTGGAATCTCTAAATTCGGCTCTGCTAAACGATCCTCAAAGATGAAAATCTTATTGTGGAGATAAAAAATGTGAACCTTGTCTTCTGGCTTGAATCTTTCCTTGATCTCTTAAAACCAGTGTAACTTACACTGCATGTTTACGTGTACTTGGTACAAAATACGTGAGAAGCAGACATACTAAAAAAATTAAATTAATATAAAATGATAATAAAATAAAATATGTAAAATATATACAGAAGACAATAAGAAAATATTATACAAACAAAACTTTACACGTATTTTTTTTTTTTTTCTTAAGAAATATAAGGAATTAAATTCATGTTATAAAGTTTGGAACATTATGAAATTATTTGGTACTATAATTCTTCCATATTATATTAAAAATAAGCATTGAAAAGAATACTTACGCAAAGTGAAACATGCCAGATTAATAATCGGTGCTATACAACCATACTCAAGTAAAATAGGGAAAATGAGGTTACCGGTCATAGATCCCACTCTTCCTGTTATCATTTCTATGCTTACTGCCATAGCTCTGACGAATAAAGAATTGAATATGCACTATTAACAATTCATTCCTTGTTTTGTATAAATATAGTAAATATAGTAATTTTATGAGTTTAAATGACAAACCTCAAAGATGTGGGGAAAACCAAAACTGTTGCGCCGATTATAACGTTAAGAGTCTTACTTAATAATCCAACATATAAACATGTGATTATAAGAGTAGTTAATCTACTTGTAGACCAGATTAAAGATATCAGGCACAAAAGCGAGCATCCGTAAGCGATGGCTATGTCCAAAAAATTTTTTAATGTCAGTATTTTCTATTTTTCTTTTAACATAGATGAAGTATATCTTCAATATGCAAAATCAAAGAATAATGTCAAAAGAAACTTACTTAAAAGATATTTGTGTTGAAGAAAATTAACAAAGATACTGGAACTTAATATAAAAATACTAGAACTGGCCGATACGAGAATAGTGTCGATGTACATTGAATTGGGCACAACAATCTAAAAAAATCAACTTATTAGAAAAAAGCCAATGTAAATAAATAATATAAAAAAATATGAATTTTCCTGAATTAAGTTTTATTAATTTTTCAATTTGCAAAAATCTATATTCCATGCAGTAAAATATGATTATAAGAATTAAATACATAATATAAAATATAATAATGTATATCTTGTAATTATTATATCTTACATTTTCGCAATTTGATGTTACTTCCAATACAGCAGTTTTATTTGCATTGGAAGGTATCGAAATGTCCAGTATCTCGCAAAAGGTGGGATTAGTTATATTTATATTAAGATTAGGAAAGTTGTCTAGTGTCGCAAAAAGTTGTGGCTGCCAGAGACGAAGAGTATTTAAACTGTAAATTTAATAAATAAAAAAATATATTAAGATATAAATATTACAGCAAAATCAGGTAAGTCATTTATATTAAATAAATGTTTCAGTATAAATCATGTCATAAATGAAGTAAAGTACGCGCAGGAAACAATTTTAAAACTTTTTTGAATAATTTGTAAGTATAACATTTGTTCTATCATTTTTCAATTCAATTACGTTAACTATATGTCAATATAATTGACTTTTGTATTTTATTTAAATGAAAAATAATTATAAATATATAATTATAAAAATAATTATTTTTCCACTTGAACAAAATATAAAACTCAATTATATTGACACATAGTTAATAAATTTCCATACATATATGTCGTTCGTCGTAGATATAAAATGGGCTCTTTGTAATATGCTAAAAAATTCAGCATCGCTTAATCTGGCATCGTCTCGCTTATTTTGTTGTCAACGTCAAGATCTACATCAATGGAAAATTTTCATCGCATTCAATAATATCTCAGGATATAAAGAGAACATGTAATTAATCGCAAACTGCATAATTGCACAAATAAACCGATAAACAGCATTTTATTTTTACTGCCGTTGGTCTGACATCCCTTAATTTAGTAGAAGATTTTAATTGAAGATTTAGTAGAAGATTTAAGAGAAGATTTAACAGAAAATTTAAGAGAAGATTTGAGAGAAGATTTAAGAGAAGATTTCAGACTTCTGAACTGAGGACGATGTGTATTCAGTTTTAAGTTTGCCTGCCTCTCGGATGACATCCTTCAATTTAGTAGAAGAATTTAGTAGAACACGTGATACAAGTACATAGTATCCCGAGGCGATATATATCTACAGATAATGGAAATGTGTCTCAGTTAACAGCGAACATGTGTGTATCTTCCGCGCTGATAAGGTCGTAAATTCTCAAATCTGTCATTCAATCGTCAACAGGGTGTTTATATGACTAACTGGGCTCTCATATTTTTACGACGAGTCATCTATCTTATTGCTATATCTTGTAAAAAGCACAATATTACGAGAGCATTATATGGATACTGACATGAATATTATCGCTACTACCGCGCTACTCTTCATTCCGATAACTCTATGATTTATGACCATCTTACGATAATTTGCATCAAATCATTACAATATGTAATAATATTAATGTGCAATAAAGAAAATTAATTATATCTTATTAATTGTGTTTCTAACATATATTTGTAATTATTATATATTTTATCTAATAAAAGAATAAATAAATTTGTCTATACTTTTACATAGACAGTTTTTGCTGAAATATTTAAAAATTTGATCACATATAAATTTGAAAATAATTTTGTTGAGCCATCAAAATAATTATGTAGTACACTTAAGCATGACATGAATAATACTATAAAAATTTTTTATATTCTAGTAATTAATTTGAGCGTTTTTCATAATTATTTTGATAATAACAAAATTAGTCTCAGATTTATATCTGATTACATTTTTATCTGACTACATTTTTAAAATACTTTAGCAAAATTAATTTTACTTATATATATATATATATATATATATATATATATATATTTTGAATTTTGATCAAAAGTTTAAAAATAATCAACTAATACGCGCATGAGAATAATAAAAAATAATGAACCATATTCTATTTATAAAAAATTAAATGTTATATGATAAAATGCTTACCCCAACATTCCACAAAATTGTATGGTAACAAATAATAAAATACGCGACAAATATGGTTTTAAGAAAATAGGCTTTATCTGCTGGATTCCATTCTTTAAGCTTGCTTTCACACCGTTTTGACATTTTAATTGTTCTGTAGTTGTCCTATTTAAATTCACATCATTCAAAGCATGTATCTAAAAATAGAAAATGTATAAAAATACCTGTAAGGATCTTTTCTATTCCAAATAAATTCCAAATATATCTAAATATACAAACTAATTGTAATTTTTTTACACAAACTAATTGTAATTATAGTGTACGCTTACAGGATAATTATCCTTAGACAGACCGGTATTCATACTGTAGATCTTCTTGAAAATTTTGAGAGCATCTTCATTACGATTTTGTGTCATCAAAAATTTAGGACTTTCCGGGAAGAAAGAGATACAGATGACACCTATTAACGTTGATACTCCACAGAGAGATAGAAAAATTCTCCAGGAATTATAGACAAACGCACCGTCCCAAAGAACAATTGACCATGGTTGAGGAATTATTAGCCAGGCTAACGCTAATCGCAAATGGAAACATTTAATATTAATTTTATGTAACAAATTATATTTATATTAAGATTATTGTCGATAATTGTTTATATAATTTATTTGTTTTTTGTAATAATTAAGTATTTTTTACCTGCATTTATTATACATCCAAATGAAACTATGAAACCAACAAAAATTGGTATTTTTGTTCTACCTTTGTCACCATAAAATTCCGAGCAGTATGCCATAAGAGTAGCATACGGACCGCTCACACTAATGCGATTAAAGTTTAGTCGATTATTTATTTATTTAAGCGATAAATATACAAGATATAAGAATTAATGTAAAATTTTTAATAAATTTTAAGAAAAATTATAAGTAAAAAATTATAATTATAAAATTTTTAAGCAAAAAATCATATTAAAATTATATTGATTATATTAAAATTAAAATAGTTATTCTTTATTTTTTTAAAAGTTGTTATCAAAAAATTTAATATATTAATAAATACAAATAAGATTCTAAAGTTTAAACAATAAGTGAGATATAAAGACCAAATAAGAACCAATACTATTATTGCTGTACAATATAATACTTTTTATATTAATTTTTTATATTTTTTTATATGAATATAATGTTTCTCTTACAGAAGACCACTAAGAAATTTGCAGACTGCAAGCATTTCAAAATTCTGCGAAAACCCAGAGATTACATTGCAGATACCATCCGCCATATAGCCATACATTATAATCTTTTTCCTTCCTTTGACATCAGCAAGGAATCCCCATATAAAACCACTCAACACCATACCTAACACAAGTTTAGTTTAGTTTCGTTTAATTTCTTATGTCGTTTTATATTATTTTACATCTTATTTTACTTTATCTTGCTTTATCTTATTAAGCACTACTTAAAATAATTCTTTAATTTTAAAATTAGATTAAGTGAAATAATTTAAAATTTAATTTTTAAGTAATTTTCATCGTCGTACTGCACTTACCCACGTATATCATAGCATTCAAAAGCCCTTTGTGAAATAATGTCAATTCTAAATCACATTCCGCAGATGCGAGAATCATCGATATATTAGCTGTATCTATACTCGATGCCCAGGAGGCCGGGATAATAGCAAGAATGAGGAGATATTGATACTTCCCGGTTCCGGCAACGGTGATCGCTGTTTCAAAATCCGCAATTTTCGCATTTGGTACATCTTCGATAACTACACGAATAATACACAAATTTATAAGATTGCTATATGTACACACACATATAGCTAAATAAATCTAAACATCAAATAAAAAGTAAAATTAAGTATTAAATTATTACTCACAACGGAAAACTATTGTTGCTTAAAGCGAAATTTTTTTTTTTCCGTAGCTTTAAAAAGTATTTTAAAGTTCCCAAAATTATTCCTTATCAAACTTCCTCACGATTTACAATTATACTTACTTGATTCCCGTTGTTGAATTTCTTTCTTCTTTGGTACGTCAATTTTATTAGGTTTATTATTAGGTTCGTTGTACGACATCACGGCGGACTACTTGTGTCACGGGAAATATTAAATAACGATTACACAACACGACACAACACACAGTCACAAACTAACCAGCTGACTTTTTAGCCGACTTTTTCAATTAGGGATACGCATGCATCAAAACGAGGCCGCTTTCAAGCGGCTTCTGTGGAATGAGTGGTTTCGATAACAGTGATTATATGCGGTACATGCCCAGATTCTGCAGGGTAATCTTTCATGCGCAAACTGATGAAATCACACCATTTTCAAAGACATTTTCTCTCCCCGTCACATTTTCGAGCTCATCGCTTAATATTACTCAAACAATTTTATCTCTTGAGTAAACTTTCGACCCGCTGATTTATCACGCGCAACATCACGCTAATGATTCTGATAATCGTCGACAAAAATCGACAGTTCAATTAAACTTATTCTCCAAATCTAAGTTCAAAAAGATAATCTATTTTTAATTGCATAATTTTTATTCTTAAATTTAGTTTAACCGAAATATTCTTATGTAAACATGATACTGATAAATTAAACTAGATCCAGATGAACATTTATGTTCCGTTTTACAAAGAAACAGCGCCAAAGAAATCATCGCTATACATAAAACAATAGCGTTACTCAACATTTTCGTGCATATTATATTCTAAGAATGCGGTAGAAACTTTTTTTCTTATTGTTTTCTGTGCAGCAAACAGTGCGCGAAGTAGATTCTTCTGAGTTTTCTGAGACTACAGTGATTCTATTGGCTATAAAATCAATAGGATCAATCCAAAAATGGTTTACCGATATAACGTAAAATGTTATCTTAACATTTCTTGGAGATCTATTCAAAATTTTTCAAGGTAGAGATCCATTACCTTTGTTTATTCAGATTAGATCAAAATAGAAAGATATAAACATAATAAGATAAAATAGAAAGATATAACATAAATATACCCATATACTTTCAAATTTTGTAAAGTTCATAAACTATTATTTCAAGCATTAGTCTAGATTTACATAGTATAATATACATAGCGAATCTTAATAAAATATTTCTTGAATGAATTATAACTGTAAATTCATAATTCATATGATAAGAAATTGTAAAAGAGACTAAATTCTATTGAAAACTCCCTTAATCCTTAATCAAGCAAAGTTTGTTATCATTTATAATCTTCGTTTGTTTTTTATTTCCTTTTCAATTTTCCAATTTACATTACTCTTATATGTAAATTTTATAATAATAACAGTATTTAAAGTATTATTCAATATATTAATATTTTTTTTATAAATTTTACCACTTATTTTAATAAGTGTACCACTTATTTTAATAAATCCAACAAAAGTATTTTCAGATTTGTAAGGATCAAAATTTTTAAATATTTAGCAAAACCGTTCTTTCCATTTGTATCAGTTTATGAATCATATTGTCATATAATTTGCGTATTGGCTATAATAAGCTATTTTAACCAATACTAAAAATTTCTCCCGGCATAACAAATTTGAGAAATCTCTAAACAAAAGATTGATCTTAGTTGTAACTTTTTCGAAATTTTATCGTGTTATGTTTAAGTCATATGTTGAATGTCGCTCATTAATACCTTTATTTCTTTGTTATTGCCTTATACAGGAAATATATTCTTTCTGGTCTTATGATGGTCTTATGATATTTAAATGCTAGGAGAATTGCGAAAAATTAAACATGCGATCCACATGCTAGTGACCATGTGACCATGTAGTTGCAAAATAATACATACATCGGCACTAGATATGATATACAGATAACGTTGGGAAGTGATATAATCATTGTAATTTTCCGAATATCCAAGTACACAAGTTTCACAAGTATAGTATAAAGTTATGAATACTAATAATTCTTTCTTAAGACTTTCAAAATATATGAAACTTTTAAAATGTATGATGTTTTGGTAAATGACTAAAAATTCATCAAAAAATATTTTAAAATTTATTCAAAGAATAAGCTTTGTACAGTCAAGTTTTGTACCAAAAAAGGTCATTTATTTCAAGTACGTTTTATCGCAGAATCCTAGAGATTTATTCGTTCACTTCGTGATGTTGATCGTCCTTTACGAATGACTTATCATCGTCCAAACAGAAGAATCCCCGGCTACTTTTCATCCTGCTAGATTCCCGGGCTTGTTGATATGACATCGACTGCATGTACTCGACCACCTTCGAAGAAAGAGAGAAAGAGAATAGGAATACACAAGGTCGGCACATCGCAAGAGAGCGAAGTTCGTTTCACCGGAGTAATTAAAGTTTCCTGCATTTGAGCCGCAGAATCGACGTTGCGTGGCAAGTGGCCTGCTTTTCGACCGACAGCACTTTTGTCGAACAAGGAGAAATAAAAATCGGCGTCCTTTTACTAAATGAATTAGGGTCAGCATCGAACAGATCGTATGGAGTGGGTATGATCTAACGTCGAAGGTCGAGCTAAGGATGCTTGTAATTGATAAAGATCCTTAACAATGAATGAATAACAGTTTGATTAATTAAATAAGATAGCTGACCGGAGTATAAGATAGCTCGCAATAGAAAGTTCAAATAATCTTAATAGAAAAAAATTACATTCTATTCGATTATATTTGTAATTAAATGTTAAATATAATCTCATTTGATTATATTTAAAACAAAATTAAAAAAACAAGTATTTAATTTTTGACTAAAATTATTTAAAATAAAGGATTTTAGATAAGTGTGTGATAGAGTTAAAAAAAAAAATAGTTTTTAGCGAAAAATTGAACCTATAAATTAATAACCTTATAAAATTTTAAGAAAAATAAATTTATATACAATTTGTGATGACATTAACTGCTATTAAACGAAATGAAAGTATTATGAAAAATTTTATTGTAATTAATATGCGTGCGAAAGTATCGGAGACGAATAAGAAACTCTGTAATGGAATTGAGGAACTTTTGCAGAGCAGTTTGATAATTAATTACACGTTCCACTGTATAAATCTGAGTCTGTCTAGTGCACATTAAGCGAAACATTTTATATGGACTGCCTTGCGCGATCAGTGTGCTCCATAATGAATGCAGCCGACATATTTAATTAATGATACGCGATGCTTGTGACTAATCATTGAGCATGCTTCGTTTTTTGATAAGTAAGACGAACGCTTATTCAGTTTGATGATGAATATAATTGCTGAAATGTGAACAATTAAAAGGAACATTTTCATCTTTTTAAAGATAATGTATCTTAATTTTGTAAATATTTATATAAAAGAAAACTTGTACCAAAAAGATGTTGATTTAAAAAAAAAAAGATTTAAAGAGCAGCAGCATTTTTTATTCTTGACAAAGCTATTGTATATTATTAATTATTATTTCTTTTAAGTTTAATGTGTATAGATTAATTGTAACATATTAAAAGATGTATAACCTGATTGTTGTAATCGAGATAGCCCATTAAGATTTCACGTGCTATCACGCCGCTGACACTCAAAAGGAATATTCTTTGTAATAATATTTTGTTTAAATACCACTTAACCATAATGTAACTAAAATATATATAAAATATATAATTACATAATTAGATTTATTAGAAAAATGTATTAAGCTAGATGGTTAATAGATGTTTTACTAATTACTCCGAATAGTTCATACTTCTGTACGGGACATTATTTGTTTACATCTTGTATATTATAAATACTAAATATTTTTGATTTATTATAAGTGAGAGTGACACATTTACTGAAACTATAATTTGATTAACGACATACTTCATGTTCGACAAGATTTTCTATGAAAGTTTATCTACTTTCGTTTACTTTTAATGAACGGAAATAGATAAAAATAGATGTAAACGATATTTAAAGAATAATGTAATTTCCAATTTTTATTTTAATTTTTAAAATAAAAATTTATTTTACATAATTATTAGCAAAGAAATTGCAAAGAGAATATTTATAAGTGTGCACACAAGATAAACTAATATAACTAACTAATATATTATTAATATTATGATATTCTAAATTATCCTTCTCTCTCTTTCTGATTACTTTCTCTTTTCGAAATCTAGCATAATTACATAAATAATATTACATAATTACATAATAATATTACATTATAATTACATAAATATTTAATTGAATTTCAAAAAAGTTAATTTTAACAAGAATTTTGCGTCAACATACATATCAATTAGCGCTATCTCGTAAACCGGAAAGCATTCTCGTAACCGAAAGCAGTTATCGAGTCATGTTCAAACCTAATCGCGGTACAACTTTTATACATGAGCCGGATATGTTCTCAATCGGTAAATCTCGTCTAGAAAAGAAAACTCTCAAATTCTCCTTGTATATACAAGTCGACCTAAATTTCTCCGGAAATCGCTCTTACTTATTCCGCAATCGCGTCTTCCGCTCCCGACCACAGTCGATGAGCGCGCGCGCGCGCGCGCGCGAATTCGCGCGTTGAATTCAAACGCGATGCCGCCGACGGCAATGTAGATTCGCCGGGCGACCGTCAGGCGGCGCTGATGCCGCGACGACGTTCGGTCGATAAAGAACGGGACGGAAGGGCTCTTCGAGCTCTTCAAAGAGGCGCTCGCTCTCTCGATACAGCTCCTATCGAGTATCGTGTCGTCAGACCGTGGCCGGAGATTCGCGACGGGGCTGACGGATATTTTTCTCTCCGCGCGACGACAAGAAAACCGTCGGTGGTATCGCACGAGTGCGACTGATATGTCGCGCTGGATGGCGCTAGTCCGAGGACGGGTGGCTGCGTAAATCCATCACCGTCATCGTCGTCGGTCACGCGGATCGCTACTCCGACGGGTGGCCGCCGCCCGCGGCACATCTCTCCGCGACAGCAGCGTCGAAACATGCGTCCGTTGCGGGGTGACGGGGACCGAGCGATAACCGAGGAGGCTCCTTCGAGGAACTGTCAGGGGAACCGTCGCCATCATCATCATCGCCGCCGACGCCGCCACCATCACCATCACCACCACCACTGTTACGCGTGAGTCAGTGCGGGATCGGACGGAGGCGACGCACGCAAAATGGCTTCGGGCGACAATGTGGACGTGATCGAAGTGGTTGAGACGACGAGCCTCCCCGTGCCGGCAACACAGCCCGTGGTGGATCACCTCAAGCCGGAGCAATCCACCATCGAGGAGGACTGTGAGTAAACGCGATCTCTCGTACTCCATTCCCCTTTCCTCCCCTCCTTCCCCCATGTATTCCGTTCTTCCAGCGTCTCATGACCTAACCTATACCGCTATATCTCCGGGATGACGCCGTGCCGCGTCGGGCGTCGCTCTTCGCTCGGTTCTCTCTCGCGTTCTCGCGACTCGCCCGTGCCGGCGCCAGGATCTCGATCTGGCCGGTCGCGTCTGGCATGCGGCCTCCGCGGGACGCGATCGAAGCCCGCTTAATCCGCCGTTCGTTTTGACAGCTAATGGGTGTCACCCGACCTACAAAGCGCAAACATAAGAATCCGTGTCGCCGTCCGAAGGAATGCTCCTTCGGAATGCGTTTCGCGTGTCAACGACGTGGCTCCTTCTTGCCTCTCGAGCTGCCGGGACGATCGATCGATGCGTTGGATGAATTTCTTCCAAACCGGTCCTCTCTCCCTCTCTCTCT